GAAACAGGCTCAGCACATGGATATCTGGTACAAGCAGCGATGGATGGCACCTAGCTTTTGGTCCAGGGGGATCAGATAGTGAAAGGAAGAAACTGAGGAAGGGAGGGGGCTGAAGCCAATCATTGCCATGGGAACAAGGGCCAGGAGGAGCCAGCTTTTTATTTTTTGTGAGCAGTTTTAGATCTGGGCCTGGAAGCCTTTATTTTCAAATGATGATAATCCAACAGTTTTGGAAAATATATTGGGGTTGACAGTTTTGTCTTCTTGTCTACTGGTTCAGACTTCCAGGCTAAAGATAGAGAAATAGACTAAGAAGAGAGATGAAGCCTTCTGTCCTCTGCTCTCCTGTCTAAGATGTTAATCTTGGACATCTGTGCTGGACTACGTGGTGTGTAGTCCTGTCTAGTACTGTAACTATATTAGGGTCTGGGGATGCAGCTCAGTGGTACAGTGCTTGCCTAGCACACCTGAGGTCTTGGGTTCTATTGCCAGCACACACACTCCCCAAAACTCAGCCAGGGGCGGGGGACAGGTAACACACACAACATACAACACATACAACACAACACATATAACACATACAACATACAACCTAAGCAGTGGCCTGTGGAAATGGCAGTCACTTCTCAGAGCTCCAGGGTTGCAAACTGCTTGGCTAGACACTTGTTCTCAGAGTTTGAGGATTTTTTTATTTTTTATTTTTGTCAGTTGCGGTGCTTGAACTCTGGGCCTGGGCGCTGTTCCTGAGCTCTTCAGCTCAAGGCTAGCGCTCTACCACTTGAGCCACAGCACCACTGACACTTGTTCTCTAACTCAATTAGATGCCAGCAGAGTGCTTTAGTGACCTGAGGCTGGCTGGAACAGTGCCTGGGAAATGATCAGATTTAGATGGGTGTTATTTTTAACATGGTGACCCTGACCCTACTGCCTTCCACTCCCACCCCAACTGCTTTGGCTTTATGGTCCCCAAGAGGAGAACATAGTTTTGTCCTGGAGATGCAGAGGCATGGTCTATGCCCTTTACCTTCAGTATACATCTCTCCTTGACCACCCATGAATTCCCAGGCCCTGCTTTCTGAATTATCTAAAACAATCTACAGCTCATTCTCTTCTCCTTAAGATTCAGATTCCTTTCCCCAAACACCGCCCCTGATCATAATAGACCAAATAATGTCTCTTCCCATTGCAGAGGAAATGGGGTTGGGGGCTTAGTAATTCAGGAAGGGTAGGTGGTTGTGTGCTCAGAAAGAACTTAATGAAGGAAGCTTAATATTTTATATAGGGTGTTATGGTTCACTGTGACACCTGGGTTCAAGTGTCATCTCAGTTATGGTCCAAGTTAAGTTGGTGAAAACAAACTATGTACTCTACCAGTTTCTACAGATGCACACAAGTAGGAAGGCAGCCCCTTTCTGGGGGAAACAAAGGCATTCCGTGGACATAATTCTTCAACTGGGCCTAAAACTTACAAAGAGGACTTAGTGTTTACTATACTAGCTTTGAAGGCAGATACACTCTGGGTTAAAATCTCATGTCTGATACTTAGCAGCACTATGCCTTTTAGGGAGTAACTTAACTTCCCTAGACTTGATTTTCTCATCTGTAAAATGAGGCTGATCATAAACTTAATTTTTTTCAAGCTTGCAAACAATAATACTACATCTATGCTCATAAGCAATACCTTTAAGTAGTTATTATTTCCTAAGGAAACTTGGCTTGTGTCCAACTAGTGATTCCAATCAGAAACTCACCTAGAGCTCCTTGTCTCTGTATGGTAGAGTTTTTGTTTAGAATCTTAAGCCATCCTGTCCACCATGCCCAATATTGGGAAGCCAGCCAGGAAAAAATTTACCTGAGGCCCTCTAGGTACAGAGGGGCCAGGTCTGAGGGAGAGGATGAGAAAACAAGACAAGGGGAAGAGTTCCAAACCTTACAAAATTACTTAATGTTAATAAACATGTGAACAGAGGAGGTGGATCCCAGGGAGTTTTTCAGTCATCTCCTGCTTAACACATACAGATGTATTCATAATTACCCCTTGCCTCAGGCCTTCAGGCCCAGGTGGGCTCCAGAAGGCCTGTGCTGCCGCCAGACAAGAGTCCTTAAAGGACACCATGCAGACAATTGGAATGCCATTTATCGTGCGAAACACAATAAAACCCTGAGTTCTCTTCCTGTCTCAGAGACCCATAAATTATGAAAATTATACCTGCCCCAGGCCATGGACATATTGTTTTATTAAAGTTCTGATGAATAAACTTCATGTCTCTTAAAAATGTCCTCCCAGCTTTCATCTGGCAACACCTCCAGCACGAAGCTGGCTGCCTGGGTTCATCTTAGTTCTTTGGAAAAGTGAGCTTACTTCAAATGCTGGATTCCCAGTGTGGGAGGCACTTACAGTGTACTGGGGCCTTCTGACCAGGTGACGAGGCTGTCTGCCCCCAAGCAAGGCCATTCCCTCTTCATGGAGAGAATGTATGGTTAGGGACACAAAGGTTGAATTGTCACATCCTTCTTGTTACCTATGATCGGTGGAAATCCTTTTGTCTACTACAGCCTGTTCTTCTCATAGTTCTTAATTACTTCAGCTTATATTTTTACCTTCTCCCTCAAATTGTGTGTGTGTGTGCACACATTAGACATCTCTGACCCTTCAGCTTTCTGTCCTTTAAGAGAACTATGCCAGAGGCCGGGTGTGCCTGGGAACATGGCAGCGGCAGGCCTGGCTGATTCCTGATGTGGATATCGATCCCAAGGGCATCTTCAAGTATGTGCTGATTTGAGTCCACTCGAGGCGATCCTCCAGGGCTCAGGCCGAGGAGGGCAAGGAAATTGTGTGCGTTACAAGTGGGCCGAGTATCACGCCGATATATTTATGAGTGTCTGTCAAGCTGCAAAAGGAGGGTTATGACTGTGAATGCCTGGGCGGTGGCGGCATCTCCCACGTCAGGACAAGAGGATCCATGTGTATGGCTACTCTATGGTCCTGCGCAGCACTGTCTCAACGGAGATCAAAGCCAAGTGTCCGGACTACAAGCAGCCAAGTCAGGACTCAGATCTTTCTGAGGCCCCTCCTGAGGGGCTAGCCCCACTATTCCCTTCACCTGCTGGTGACATATCACTCTGCCACACCTCAGACCAGCTTGGCCACAGGAATTAAAAGCATTCATGTGCCAGTCCAAAAATAAATAAATAAAGAGAGAACTATGACATGTGGCACACATACTCAGCCAGTGGCCATTATGGTCACGGCCAAGCCATTTCATGACTGGCAATCAGGAAGATCGCGGCCCCCGGGATGAAGATAAAGGACATACTCTTTCTCTAGATACCAATGTAGTCCTCAACTCCCCACAAGCATTTGGGTAGGTGTGTGTGTAATCTTCAGAACCTTATAGTTAGGGGCTGGGAAGGTGGCTCAGTGGTAGAGTGCTTGCCTTGCATGCATGAGACTCTGGGTTCGATTACTCAGCACCACATAAGCAGAAAAGGCCAGTAGTGGTGCTGCGGCTCAAGTGGTAGAGCACTAGCCTTGAGCTAAAGAGCTGAGGGACAGCGCCCAGGCCCAGAGTTCAAGCCCCAAGACCAACCAAAAAAAAAAAAAACAAAAAAAAAACCTTACAGTTAAAATAAAAACCAGGCCTACTTGTCACTTGTAATCTAAGAATTAAGACACTTGGGACTAAGTTCACTAGCCTTGAGCTGAAGAGCTGAGGGACAGCGCCCAGGCCCAGAGTTCAGGCCTCAAGACCAACAACAACAACAACAACAAAAACCTTACAGTTAAAATAAAAACCAGAGGTAGGCCTACTTGTCACTTGTAATCTAAGAATTATAGACACTTGGGACTAAGTTGACTAAAATGTGCTGCCTTGTTGGTGAAGAAAGACTAATCAACCTTTCTTTGTCCATCCCTGTTGGATGGTCAGGTGTAAAAGAGGGCAACCCAAACCTGTCTTTACTCTAGAAGTTTCCTTTGTGCCTCTTTGGAAGTAACCAGGGGATACTTGGCATTCTTTGGCTATTGCCAAAGCTTAGATTTCATAAAGATCTTCAAATACCATAACTGATGATCACAAGATAGTGACTGAATCTACAATTTCTGATCTCTCCCTTCAAATCCCTCAATACCATTGCTAGTAAACTGAATTTCTCTGAGGAAATGAAAATGTACTCACAACTATGTCAACTCAATCACTGGGCTGGATGCCAGTGGCTCCTACTGGTAATCCTTGCTAATCCAGAAACTGAGATCTGAGTGTCGCTGTTCAAAGCCAGCCTGAGCAGGAAAGTCTGTGAGACTCATCTCCAACTAACTATAAAAAGCCAGAAGTAGAGCTGTAGCTGATGAGTGCTAGCCTGAGCACAACAGCTCAGAGACAGCACCCAGGCCAAGTTCGAGTCCCAGAACTGCCCCCCCACCAAAGTGGTTGAATTTAACTAAATTTGAGTACAAGGGGGAGGGGAAAACAGGAATCATATGGAAAGACCTATGAGGACAGGGTCTTCAATAGTAGCTTTGTGAAAAATCAATAGATGGAACACTTTATAGGAGTCAAACGAACCATTTTTAGCCAATGCTAAAATTGTCTAAGGCTTTTCTGACTGGATATTTTATTTCTGGTTGGCTTTTTGAAGATTGTAGATTTGGGGGTACCAAGAAAGAGTTACAGAAATTTTAGAAGACAGACCGATCACTACTGTTTTCTACCTCTATCTCTTCCTAGTTCTCAAGCTTTATCTGTGTTACATTCATCGGAGGGGATAGCTAACCCAGGAAGAGCATACAGCACCTAATATTAGGAAGTGGTATTTAGCTTCCCAATAGAGTTTTCCTTCAATAGTTTTAGGTCATCCTAGAGTGGGAACAAGGGTCTGACGTTAGCACACTTTATTTTTGTTGTTGGGTTTGTTTTTGGTTTTTTAACATCCCTGGGACTTTGCTGGGGGTTATCACCAGAGTAAAACACGTAAACACACGAGAAAACAGCAGATCTGTATATATTTAACAATATATATTTATAGATATTTTCTAGATCAGTACATTCAGTTTTAACTTGTTTTTTTCTTCACAAACAGAAGAACTCTTACAATAGTAGACTTTCTAAAATAAATACTATTAAAATAGAGCTTCAAAATAAATATTCTATACAAAGGAAACCTTCTGTGGTAACTTTTGTGGTGGGGTAACAGGGGAACTATAGTGAAAGGTGAAAATAAAATAGGAATGTGGTGGCAAGGGAGCTGGAAAAAACTTTACCTTTTGTAACACGAAACCAAACTGTAGGACAAGGAGAAGGAAAAGCAATATAAGACATCGCACGCAGTTACCCACAGCAAAAAAAATGGCAACGCAAGGTTTGACTTCCACTATGACAGTAAGCAGAGAAGACAGGGAAATGCTCACCAAAGGCATGAGCCAGAAAAAGCTGGTGCCCTAGCGATGGACAGTACTAAGTTGTGCTGCTAGCACACCACCAGACACTTGCTGGGGCAGCACAGGAGAATGTGATGCTTCAAGGTGGCAGCCACCTGGGTTCAAAGGGTCCATTCCCAATAGGGACTGGTCTTCCTTCTGGAGTCTCTGAGGAGCGTCTCCGTTGTACACCCTGTCATTTACCGGGGAAGCCTTTGTTAGCTTGGACCCAGTCCCCAGGGGGCTCACGGAACTATTGGCCTCCACAAACTCACCACTGGTGGGGTGAGAACCAAAAACTATTACCAGCCCCAGGCACAACTACCACCAACCCCAGGACTGCAGAGAAGCAAGAACTAGCTGACTTTTCGACATAAGCATAACCCAGCCAAGCAAGCTGCAGGTGACAGGAAAACAGCCAGCCAGCCAGCCAGCAGTATCTACAGAAATGTGTCCTGTTTCTGCGTACTTGTTCCCTCGGCGACTCATGGGAAGGAATAGAGGGCCTACAGGGCCTCTTCCTCTTTTGTCAAGGAGCCAGAGAGAAAAAAACAAAACCAAACCATGATGCTGAAGGAGCATGCTACCCAACAGAGCTGGAGAAGAAAGGACGCTTGCTTCACTCATTCTCTTACCACAGAGCATGTGGGTACCAAGGTGATTCTTGGGGAAGAGTTCTGCAGACATTTGGCAGGTTAAATGCAAGTCAAACAGGTAGGAGAGGAAAATAAAAAAGCAAACCAAAACCCACAAAAATCCGTGTTTACAACTATGTACACAAAAAGTCAGGGTTCAGGAGGCCTCTACTAGGAAAGAGGGTCTACTGGTAGAGGGTCTGTGTGTTTTGTGTGTGTGTGTGTGTGTAACATGTGCAATGTGTGCAACACAGCTTATATAAATCAATTCTCCATAGAATAGGTATGTAGATCAAGATCACGACAGTGTAACTTGCCACTGTATCAAATTTCCTGGAGATGTTTGAGGGAGGGCCCTGGGCAATATTCCAAGGCCTTCTGGAAAAGAGTGCACACACATGTGTGCTATCATTTGGAGGGGGGCACATCTGCACACCTCATCTAAGGAAAACATCTCCAGCCCCCTTCAGTACATTTCCAATACATTCAATTAGTGTAAAAGTGGTTGGCTGAAATGTGTTTTTCTACCATTCCCTCCTATTTGTGCGAGAATTATCTATACATCCATCACCATCTGTGGCCAGGGTAGCTATATGAATTAGCTTTAGAGACTGAAGATGCATTATTTTGTACTTGCCTTTTACAAACCAGCAAATGTTACATAAATAAAGCCAAAAATAATAAGACCCTCCCTTCCTCCAATCAATAAATATCTATGGTTACAATTAATTTATCCTAAATCATAAGATGTTACTTCTAGCTTCCAAGAAAGTATGGGGAGGGGTGTCCTTGAGAAGCATTAGGTACATGCCACTTACAGTTACCTGCCTCCTTGGCCTGGCCTCCTTCCTGGAGACAGCTCAAATTAAAATGCTATGCTCTGCCTAATTGCTCCCCATTTCACCTGGGCCATGTTTTCTGACCCAGGCCACTTCCTCTCATTAGAGGAGAGGGACACTACCACACAAAGCAAAAACCTCACATAAGGGTTAGGGGAAAGGACCAGACACATTACAGCTTTTGCATGCAACAAGTACCTACCCACTGGACGTGCTGCACTTTCTGAGTCCTTTAGCACCTTGAGAGAAAGAGTTGCTACGTCTTTGGGGGCTGTTGGGGGAAGTGTGTGCTGTGCACAAAAGCAGGGCTCAATCTCAGTGGCCCCTGGAGAATCATTTCCCCACCCTCTCAAGCTTTTCTGACTCCCCCTGCCGCCAGGGCTTCCTAACACACTAAAATAGACTCTGTTCATCATCTCTATTTACATAAAGATACAGATGCATCGCTATACACAAAAGGCTATGACAGCAAGCAGCAGAATCAGAGAAGGTAACCCAGCCCAGTTTGGCTCAGCTGTCATTCTGCCAATGGGAGACGCGGCCTCTTCTTCGCCGTTCAACTCTTCTTGGTGGGCAGGGAAATTGTGCTCCTTGAGGTTTATTTGCCCCCAGATTTTGAAATCAGCCCTTCCTGGGGGTGGTCCAAAAGGAAGCAAGTTGTTATTATCACTGTGGATGTTGAGAACACTGTTAACATCTGGTTTAATTATTCTATAAAAACATCACGACTGGATCCAGAGACCACAGCCCCAAACTCATTGGCAAAATGATATTTGGTCTCGCATGTGCCACCCTGGTCTTCTCTGCCCATCAAGTTTCTGGAAAGAATGTTTGAGGAGAGAGAACTCAGGACACACAGCAGGCAGGCGAGTCTGTGACTTGGTGGCAAGAATCAGGACGGTGTGATGATGAGCAGAACACCCCCGAGTTAATGAGCAGGCTGGGAGGAAGGTATCACTGCACAGTGGCTCCCAAATCCATCATGTGACTGGCTCTGGGAAGGCAGGCGCAGGAACAAGGCTTCCACTCACCAGCTATCCTCTGTTCTCAGCAGCTCCCAAGTATATACAGTAGGGATCCCTAGGGTGCTCTACACCTTCCCCAGGGAGGCAGCGGACAGTAGGCATGGATGGAGGAGAAGATAGAGAAGTCCAGGATCCCAGGGTCATCTTCAAAGTACCCTGGCCTTCAGTTAGCCAATTCCTCCCAGGAGTCCAACTCCTATGAAAGCCAAAGACAAACGCAGAGTGGGAGAAAGGAAGGAGGAGGGACTGGGAAGGCCATCAAGCAGCTGCAACTTCCAAGATTATGTCCGCATCTGTGTTCCCTCTTCTAAAACAGAATCAACAAGCTCGCCCCGCCCCCCTCCTCATCACACCCTGCATGGTCTACTTGACACAAAGTTCCAGGACCCTGAATTCCCCCACTGTCCCCATGTGTTTCTTCATCCTTTTGGGGGGAAAAAAAAAACAGAGAGTGGGTGGTGTGGTCTCTGCCTGCTTCTTCCCAATCGAGGGAGGAGAACAGATGAGCAGGGTCAGCCTCAGGAGGCTGGCAAGAGTGACCCACATTTCCAGGGGCAACATCGAGGCTTCGACCCGAAGTGTCAGAAAGGCTTGTCAGGCCTGCTGGCCACCGCATCCATGCTGGCTGTCTTACAGATGACGCTATTCGTGTGCTTGCAGCGGCAACCGGGGCGGCGCAGGCGGTCATAGCCACGCTGGGCCAGCTTCACGCAGCCTGTGGCAGGTAGATAACAGAGTAGGCAGGGCAGCACCACAGAGAGGGCACCCATGAAGGACCAGCGGGCACAGCAGTTGGAGCGGGAGCAGGAGCATGGGTGATCAGCACAGGAGCCCTCATCGTCCTCATTGGTGCAATGGTAGAAGATGCCCTGCACCAGGCACATGCAGGTGCCATAGTTGACCAAGGTCTGGGCGGAACACAGGCACTCCTGGTTACAGACCCAGCAGGAGGGCAACGTCCGAGGGGACGCACACTCCTTACATTTACACTTCCCACAGGCCTCACACAGCAAGAAGTGCTTGTCCAGCTCTGGTGGGAGGGCTGGACCCTTGAGGTCCAGAGGCTTGCAGTGGACGACCTTTGGCTGCAGACGCACAGCTCTAGGTGAAGCCTGCTCAGCCACAGGCGGTGGAGCCATGTGATCTAGGAGCCGTTGGTCAGAGGAGGTGCTGCTGCTGCTGCTCACGGAGCTGGGGCGCCCACTGAAGGAGATCCAGTGATGGGTGACATCCTGGTCACAGCGGGCAGGTGTGGGGGCCAGTTCCAGAGCCCCACCCCTGGTCCTCTTTGGACCAGTTGGGGGAGCCAGGCCAGGGTTGTCTATGTAGTCGTTCTCCACATGGCTGGTCTTCATCTGGTCAATGGGTAGGATGGTGAGCGGGTGCTGCAGCCGGCTGTGGGGCATCCGGCTGTCAAGAAGGGGCTGCACCATGACTGAGCTGGGAGTCAAGGGGACACTCTGCGGGATCGGGGGCTCCATGGGGCTGGAGGTCCTGGACTGCTTGGAGAAACAGGCTACTAGGGATCCTGGGGGAGGGGAGGGAAAAGAAGAGAGAATGGGTTCCAGGCATCAGTAATGTGGTTATGTTAATATAGTTCTAATATACCCCTACACACACCCCATCTGGTGAGAGGGTGCTAAATGATTAACCTGATAACAGCAGTAATACTACTGGTAGAAATAACACTTTGGGATGAGGATGTAGCTTAGTTTACCTAGCATAAGCAAGGACCTAGGTTTGATTCCCCAACACTACAAACAAAACGAAACAAAACATAAGGCCCACTATTGCTAGTTTTTGCCAGTACTAGGGGTTGAACTCCAGGCCTGAGCACTGGTTCCCTTTTTTTCTTTTTTTACTGGTCCTGGGGGTTGAACTCTAGGCCTAGGTGCTATCCCTAAGCTTCTTTTGCTTAACGCTAGCACTTTACTACTTAAGCCACAGTGCCACTTTGGGCTTTTTTGGGTCGTTTATAGAAGATAAGGGTCTTTCGGACTTTCCTGACAGGGCTGGTTTGGAACTGCGATCCTCAAATCTCAACACCCAGCTCTCCCTAAACTTTTGCCCAAGTCTATGCTCTAACACTTGAACTACAGCTCCATTGTCAGCCTTTTTTTTTTTTTTGCTAGTCAGAGATAAAAGTTTCACAGACTTTCCTGCTGGACTGGAAGGATCCTCATGGATCCTACTATTTCAGCCTCCTGTTTATAGGATTATAATAGATGTGGGCTGCCAGCACGTAGCATGAATGAGTATTCTTGAGGCCTCATCTTTTTTCCATCGGTAAAAAGGATTGAATGAAACTATACCTATCTGGTGCATAGCACGTTTCCTGGCATACAGCAAGTACTCAAACAGTTTATCCTGACCTCAGCATAAAGTAGTTTAGATATCTTGAAAACTTGTAAGCCCTGGTGCCAAGCATTGTACTGGGTACCAACAACAATGTGGTGAACATGGATTACCCCATGTGCTCCATGGAGTTTATCAGTTGGATAAACTAAACAAAAGCCTTGATTCCAAACATTCAGAAGAGAAGGAAGGGCTGCATGGGATGCCTGCACATCCAGGATATTAACTTATCACTACCACTTCCAAGTGCAGCAACCTCTAGCAGCTAATAACCACTGGGTAGGTGAGCTTCTGACGACTTGGATGGGAAATCCTCTCAAGGGGCGCTCACATCACCTATTTCCAAGTGCTGAGCTGAACATTCAGCCTAAATGCTATTTACTAGAATAGCGAAGCCAACCCTGGATCAGTTTCTAATTTCACTGAGAGAGTGCAATTTGAAGCTGGCATCCGGCCAGAGATTCAACTGCAGTGCCTGACACGAACCCCAGGAAGTCACTTCAATCAAAGAGCGGAAACGACTTGGTTCAAATTTAGAAAGTGCACATTGTTTTCTATTAGAAGTGCCATTTCCTTGCCTGCTGACCTTTACATTTGGAATTCGGATGGAGATCAATTTAAAGAAATAGCAGCAGAAGGCCAAGACCTCCGCTCAAGGGGGACACTATTTGGAATCCAGGGAAAAGATTAGACTCCAGGAAGATTCTACCCTGAAACCTAAGTATCTCCAGGGGATTGGAGAAGGGAGGATGGAGAAGGGAAAGATGACAGTCTTTTTGTGTGTGTGTGTGTGGGGGGGGGGGGGGGAGGGGGAAGTGGAGTCAAAACCACTGGGTTATATGCTTTGGGTGGTGATGCCATTAAGTGCTTTTTCAAGATGCTAATGATGCTATAATTAGAAGAACTGCCCCTGCCCTGAATCTGTTAAGTGGATCTTGTATCAAAGGTTTCCACCTCTAGTTTACCCCCAGATTTCTGGGGGCCAGTGTCCCGTCACAATATTCCAGTCACTAGCTCCCTAGGACTCATCCCCAGGACTCAATATTGTATTTCCTCTGCTAGGAGACAATAGTTGAATCAGAAATAGTTCAAATTGCTGGGGAAGACCTTCCTTAGATAGTTAACCTAAATGAAAAATACTGAAAAGCATTAAGGGTGAGGGGAGTTATCCACAGGGCTCTTATCTGTGTATTATCTATATTGCTAAATGCAAAGAATAAAGTAAGTTGTTTTTTACAAGGCTTAACACACAGCCAATGGATGTTTCCTAGTCACACGGGGCACCACCATTGGCTCTGCTCCCAAGGCTCTGCCTACTTAAAAGGTGCTGAGTTCTTTACAGTGTCTTCGCATCTTTTACCTAGTTGGCAGCTCCTGCCCTAAAGTTCTCTTCAGATGAAACCTGAGCATCATCTGTGATTTGGGAGCCTGCCTTGTGCCAGAGTTTACCTTAAGTATCTGGCAGGTCTGCCACCAATGAGTACTCATTTGCCAAGGTGGCTTCTAGTGAAAATCATGTGGTCAGAACTTGACAGAAGAAGGTAGAAAGTATAGGGGGAGGGGAAGTTCCAGGGAATGCTTTCTCATTCTGTTCACATACTGAGGGTTCCAAGGCATTACTTTAAAAAAAAAATGAGGGGCTGGGAAGATGGCTCAGTGGTAGAGTGCTTGCCTTGCATGCCTGACGCCCTGGGTTCGATTCCTCAGCACCACATAGCAAAAAGAAAAAAGCCGGAGGTGGCGCTGTGGCTCAAGTGGTAGAGCGCTAGCCTTGAGCTAAAGAGCTGAGGGACAGCGCCCAGGCCCAGAGTTCAGGCCCCACGACCGGACCCAAAAAAAAATGAGTCTGGAGTCAACAGACCAGGACTAGGAGTCCCAGGTCCCAGTCCTGGGAAGGGTCTTTGGCTAGAGAAAAAGCTGGGATGTGGTACAAGAATGGAAAATTGAGGTTGAAGGCATGGCTCAAGGGGAAGGGGGCTTGCCTAGCAAGGGCCAGGCCCTAGATTCAAGTCCCAGCAACATTCCCCCACCCCCAAATAAGAATGAATAATGCCACGGATAAGAATGAATAATGCCACGGATAAGACTGACAACAGTCAGGAGGTACCTCAGCCAGAATGCTCATCCTTGCTCTAAGACCACTTAAGTCTTTCATTGCAGATGCGCAAGTTAGGAACACTGTGGGTCCTGCCAACAAAATGTCAGCGGCAGTTTCAAGGAGCTATATGCTACCCAAGTAGCTAGGGTTTTTGTCTCAGAACTAGGACTAAGATTGGTTATGCTATAGAAAAAGTGAAGGTACTCTCTATCACCCAAGCAGACTATCCATTCTGCTTTAGTAATTCAATATCTGAGGCTCTTTAAACAGCCACTTTTCCAGCCAATGAAACAAAGAAGCAGGGGCAACTCTCAGAGTTAACAGGCTCTGGAATCAGTGGGCAGATTCCCCAAATCCTAGAAAAGTCTCACTAGGAAGCCAGTAAGAAGCAGCCACTGCAGGCACTGGGGTTCCTGGTATTAGCAGGTTCCCATCTCCCTTCCCACAGGCAGCTGTCAACATCTGAACCTGCAAGTGAGGCCAGCCATGTAGTTGGGGGTGGGAGCTTGGCCTACAATGACTCAGCTCCCTCGGGACACACAGCAGCAGAAGGCATCTTGTACAATGCTTCTTCTGGTTACCAGCTCAGCAAAATCCAGTGGCTGGCCCAGGGCCTATTAGGCCAGTTGCCTAATCTACACAGACCCTCCACAAGACAGCCCTCTAAGAACCTTTACTGAATTTTTTGTCTGATGAAGAAAAAACAACTTCTGGTGCTGCCTGTTTGATAAACCCTCAGCATAGCTCTGTGTCTCAAAAACAAAAAAACAACCCAAGTGTCAGTTGGCTTAAAAGATCACCTTCCACTCATTGAGACCTGCCCAACTCTCCAGGCTGAGAACTCCTATGAATCTTTTTTTGCCAGTCCTGAGGGTTGCACTCAAGGGCCTGAGCACTGTCCTTGAGCCTCTCTGTGCTCAAGGCTAGCACTCTTACCACTTGAGCCATAGCACCACTTCCGGCTTTTTCTGTTTATGTGGTGCTGAGTAATCGAACCCAGGGCTTCATGCATGCAAGGCAAGCACTCTACCACTAAGCCACATTCCCAGCCCCCTGTGGATCTTAAGTGCAGTTTAATATATACCTCTGCTTCCCCTTCAGGGAAGGAAGAGATTTATAACTGCAACAGGAGTGGAGACTATGTCTCCTATGCAGGCTGTTGGGAAGAGCCTGATGGCCAATTTGGAAGGCTCTGGACAAAAATGCAGCCAGCATTGCACTTAGCTAAGGCAGCACCTCTGCCACATTTTAGGTGGTGGCACATGGATTGGTAGGAAGCAAGAGAACTTTCACCTCCACTTAACCTTCTAATAATAAAGAATAATTATGGAAGCAGCTAATATTTAGGGAACATTTCCCTTTGTCCACTCTGCTACAGAAGCTGACAATGATTTGTTTTCTCCTTTAATCCTTCCATCAACTTGGAGGGCAGTACCCACTTGGCATTTAATCCTTCCATCAACGTGGAGGACAGCACCCATTTGGCAGAGTTAGAAACAAAAGCACAAGAGATGGGAGAGTGATAGCAAGTGATCACTGGAGCAGGATTGAATCCCAGACAGCAGAGGCAGAGATTGGCTGGCACAGAGGCCTCTATAACCCTGGGTACTACTGAGAAGGGACACAAGCACGGATGATTTTCAGAACCAAGAATTTCAGAGCCAGTTTCCCTCAGTGTGCCACCAGCCCAAAGACAGCCTCCTCCACCCTTGGGACTGAGCCACTCAACCAGCAAGGAAATGAAGGCTATGTTTGTAACTTCTGTCACTTAAGGAAGACTCAGAGCCCAAGTTATCTTCACTCTCACTTCTGGTTTCTTTGCCATACCTTCTGACATTTTGTCCTTCAAATCAGACTGGTCTCTCACTTGTAGAATTTCACTGCAAAGCAGTCTTTAAAGGGAAACCTTGGGAATCCCCTCACTTTCCCACCTATCAAGTGGAACTTCCAGGTCCCTAGGGCACCTTTATTGATAGGTTTCTAGGACAGACCTGTGAGAGAGGTGTCAGGTACAAGAGAGGAGTCCCACGATATTGACTCAGCAGGATTTCAAAAACCCTAGAGCAATCATCCTTGTCTGACCCCTAGTACCACTTGGAGGGCTTACTGAAAAAAATCAAGGGCCATGTTTAGTATCCAAACTGGGGTGGATGATGCTTCTTACCCACCTGCACCCTTCTGCTTAACTCATCCTAGAAAGAGCAGCCAAGAAATACTGGGAAAACCTGACTATTGTACTATGAAAACTACAGGTCGGCTAATGACATACTGGCAAGAGGCTCTGGATGAATGGGCATTTTCTGCACTGCCCCATTCAGTCTCAGGCAAGCATTGTTTAACCCTTTCACAACTCAGAATAGAGGTCTCTCCCGTTGCCAGAGAGCCCGCCCACCGCTCTCTACCACCCTGCTTGGTCCTTTGTGACAATATCCCAGTTTAGTTAATTAAGCTACAACCCAAACGATGACTTATTGCCTTAAAAAGACTATTAAAAAAGGGTAAATGAAGACAGCGACTCATCCTTTCCCAAACCCAGAAGACAATCTACTGGGAATGGCCCACATGGAAAAAGAAGGCCTTGGAGCAGCTGGATTTGTCTGGGAATTCATCCCCCTCCCTTATCTTCCTGCTCCTAACATGGCACTTAAGATCACGTCTGGCCATACACATAGGCTGCTAAAGATCATCACTTGCCCACTTACCAGCCCTTTTCTTTTCCTTCTTTTCCAACCCATCAGCTAAAATCCCAAAGCCTCAACATACCACACCACAGATGGGAATCTTGAGGTACTTTGACTTTGAACTATCCTAATCAGCTTCAACTTTCTGTGTCACTGGATAACCCTTCCCCCCCCTTAATTGTCTGCAAGAAGCAGCAGAAAGAGGTGTCAGAAGCTAAGAGTGAGAAATGAAGAGAACCACTGGTAACCACGGAGTAACTAACTACTGGGCCAATCAAAGTGTACGTTGGGACCAGACACCTAGCTGGAAAGAATTCTTCCCACAGATGGACATCAAGATCTCCACTAAGAAATCCAAGATATGAACTGACAAGAATAGATTTCAGCTTACTCTTGGGACAAGGCAGGAAATGACTTCCCCTTCCCCCAGTCTGAAACAGACAGACTACCCAACAAGGGAATCCACTCATCTGCAAGTGGCCACCTGCCCTAAAGGGCCCATCTGTGCTCCCTCCCCAGCTCCTAGCTTCCTCCACTGACTAGGGCCTGTCCTTGGAAAGAACAATCATGATCACAGCTGAACCGTGGAGCCTCTTAAGCCCAGCCACATGTCCCGGATACATTCCCCCCTTGTCAGCTGTCCGGATCTGCACGGTGGCCCCAGACCCCTAAGAGCCAAGAATACCCTGAGTCTTTCCCATTAACAGCACCCCACAACTCTTGCAGTGTTCATTAGAATTGCCCTTAAAACTCAGCCCTCTCCTAGCTCACCTCAGTACTGGCAATTCACAAGCAGCCTTGCTGGCCCCTAGGTTACTTTGTTCTGATTGGGTTTATGTGGCCACTCATTTGCTGTTAGATTAGTCTGAAGGAAGGAAGCAGTTTTATGTATGTTGATCTTCAATAGTAAAATGCTATTCCAATGAGAATCTGTTTTCCCTCTATCTGGAAAATCCAGGTTGGCCATGAGATGGGACTCGATCCACTCTAGTCATTCTCCTTTAAAATCCCTGTTGTGAGCTGGGTGCCTGGTGGTTCACATCTGTAATCTTAGCTACTCAGGAGGCTGAGATCTGAGGATAACAGTTCAAAGCCAGTCAGGGCAGTAAAGTCTGTGAGACTCTCATCTCCAAAGTAACTACCAAAAAGCCAGAAGGAGCTATACTCAAGTGGTAGAGCACTAAACTTGAGCCAAAATAAATAGATAAATAAATAAAGCTCAGGGTCAGCACCCAGGGCCTGAGTTCAAGCCCCAATACTGGCAAAACAAACAAGCAAACAAGCCACATCCCAAGCCTGAAATTTTCAAGCACATCTAGAAGCTTCATCCAGAATTCTCCCTCAGGCCACAGGTAACGTTCACCTCTGTAGAGGCCAGAAAACACCAGATTCAGAACCAAATCAAATGCTGCGACTCTTAATTCTGAGCTTCCCTAAAAAAAGGCTGCTCATTCCAAGGCCTGCATACTAACATCCAGACCTCTCCTGGTCTGATTTAAGAAAAGTGCTGCCCAACACTGGTGACTCAAGACTAATCCTTAGCCAGGAAGCTGAGATCTGAGGATCATAGTTAGAAAGCCATAATGGGCAGGAAAAGTCCGTGAGACTCTTATCTCCAAATAACAGTAAAAAGCCAGAAGTGGAAGTATAGCTCAAGTGATACAGGTTGGATACATGCCTTGGAGTAAAAAGGTAAAGAACAGTGCCTAGGTCAAGTACAAGTCTTAGTACTGGATGCACACTTGCAGTGCACGCACACACAAATGCTGATAGGGAGTCCAAAACTTGGGGCTGGAAGATGCCACCTAACACTAAGGGACATCAACAACTAGAATTAAAATTTAGCATCAACTGGAATTAAAATATCTGTATGTGACCCAAAAGTATTGAATCCCAGGTCTTTCAAGGACCACGTTAGAAAAGTACCAGTGAGTAATCTCATTTTTCATAAATAGCTTTCACATTTTGCTTCATTTATTATTTGGTATTATTCAAAAAAGCTAGCCAAACATAGAGTATCAGAGTATATCAAGCTCATTAAACTGTGGACAGGGGGTATGAACTGGGTGGAGGGTGATTTGAAGAATGTTCCATTTCTTACCAGCTCTGGAAGGATAACTGGCCAAAAAATGCCTACCTTCGCCCAGACTGACCAAGTTTAGTCTGGAACTAATCTACTCTTACATGTTGTCTCTTCCCATTAGGCCCAACCAAAGCTCCTGTGAAAGGAAATCTGGGAAAGAGTAAGGGCAGGGCCATGTCCATCCAACAAGAAAGGGAGTGGACTACCAAGTTCACAATCTACAATGGAAGGCCACTAGTGTCATTAAAAGTTTCTTTCATCTTAGCTAGCCAATATGTGCTCTCCACATTTCAGAAATGTGCTATCAAAATGCCCCCTCCCTGTCCCCTACCCACACAGCTCAGTTGTGTGGATTAGGTTAGAAATCTCCAGGTTCTAGCCACCATGCGAAAACCTCTCCCTAAGAATGGGAAACAGAGGAAATGTATTTCTCAATGGCTGGCTATCTCTGCTGCTTTCTCACCCTTCAGAGAAAGAGAGGGAGATTAGGCTACAGCTCTTCCTTTCTTAGACGGCCAGGGCTCCACACTAATGGGGGTTGGGGGAGGGCGAGAAGCTGAAAGTTTTAGATGTTTATGTTCCATTTGTGTGAAGATTGGGAGAACTCTAAACATTGTGAAATCTACCAGTGCAATATTGAGCAGGGCCTAAGGCCAGAGGGGACCTTATTAAGAGATTGATAACCCTCTATTTCCTGACCTCTCTGAGTCTCTTGCCTTCCATCTTCGTATCCCTAAGAGGCTGGGTCGGCTGGCTAACCAGACAGACAACGCTGGCTTCCACCCCTCCAACCGTTGCAGGTTCCCTGACCTCTCCCCCGCAATGGAGAGAATCACGCCACTAATTTCGAGGCAGAAAAGAGGGAGCGCTGCCACTGGATCTGGGGACCCCACCGAATCTACCCTTTCCTTGGAGCACACCATGGTAGGGGTTACCAGGGAGCCTTCTCTGCGCCATAAGGAGGCCTCCTTGCCTTCAACCCAAGCCTGGTAACATGGACACCCGGTCAACAGCTGTGAAAGGCAATCAGCAGCTCTCCCCTCTGCTCGCCGTCCAGACTCTCAAGCCCACGGATAGCTCCATCCTTCAGCTCTTCAAGCCACGCAACCATTTCCCACCTCTTTAGCCTCCCCTGCCCACAACCCCCAGCCCCCAACCAAAAGAATTGAGAAACCGTCATCTTGCACAAGAGCAGCTACTGTCTAAATGCTTTTTGATCGTCTGCATGGAGGGGTAACTGGACACAGCCCTGGCCTCAGTGATGGAGCCAAGCGCCAGCTGCCGTGGCTGGCCAAATCCTCTCTCACCCCTCCCCAATGCCCCCCGTGGCCTTACAGATTCAAAAATGTTCATACCTTCTCTATCCTCGCCTCTCCGTGTTGTCAAGCCCGGTACCACCAAGAAGGAAGGAGGGAAAGTAGGAGCCTTATCTCTCCTACGCAGGCAACCTCTTCCTCCAGCTCCCACACGCCCGGCGTTATGTAAACGCACCTTCAGCCCCCACCACAGCCCTAGCCAGGCCCAGGGGCCCTGGAGCCTGACACAGTTCGATGCCCAGGGATGGAGAGGGGCGAGATGGCCGAGAAGCCTCGGACCCCGCAGAGGCCGAGGAAGGAAAAGGGAACTGCAAGGTAGTTGCACAGCTTAGAATGCTGCAGCCGAGCAAAGGTCAGACTGCCAAGAGCCGCCTCGCCAAGGAGAAGGAGCAGAAATGCCCAGTCCTTGGCCGGCTCCGTGCTGACCATCGAAGGGGAAGCAGAAAGAAGAATCCCAGTCGGTCCAGGGGAATGAAACGTCTACGTCGAGCATAGGCCGCTGCGGCGGGTAGGGGAGACCCACGGCAAAGCTGGCACGGTGGGCACGGAACCTCAGGGTGGGCGAATTGCCCAAGGCGAGGGCGCCACCCCAGAACCTAGCGGTGGCTGCGGACCAAACCCAGAGCCTCCAGTTCCAGCGCCCGAGGCGAGTAGTGGCAGAAGGAAAAGAGGCCAGGCCAGAGGCAAACTCCCGGGACACGCACGGGGCTTCCCGAGTAGCAGAGGGCGGGGAACACAGGCTTGGCAGTGCCCAGGGGTCCGACACGGAGGTGCCAGAGCGCGAACACCGCCAGCACCTTACCCCGAGGGCGCCAGGGAGCTGCGGCGCTCCGCAGAGACTCCGGGAGGCTCGGGCCGAGGGAAGGAACACGGAGGCGCGGCTAGAAATAGCGCACCATTTACCTCAGCCCGAGGGGCAGTTTCGGATCCCCAAACCGGCCGTAGACTTACTTTGAGGAGCTGCAGAATCACAAGCATCGCTCCACGGTCCGGGTAAATCCCTCCAACCCGGGCGGGTCAGCCGCCGCTGTACTCGCAGACGCCAGTCAGAGGAACCGGCAAGGTTCCTTGGGTTCCGCAGCGCCAGCTCCGCGCTGTCAGCTCCGCTCGCTGCCTCCCCGGCGGTGTTGCAACCACTGCCTGGGAAAATGGCTTTTTTATGAATGGGAGGGAAGAGAGCCTCAGTGCGCATGCGCGCCGTCTGCGATTCTATGAATGGGTGGGCACAAGAGACCCTGTGCGCGCATGCGCTGCGCTTTTTTTTTTTTTTTTTTTATGAATGGGGGGCCGGAAAAGAACTTAACCCGTGATTGCTGGGGCTGGTTCTTGCTCCTCCAGGGGCCGTCGTTCTTTTACAAAGAGGGGTGGAGGTTGTTGTTGGGTTTTTTTTTCTTTCTTTTTTTTTTTTGGTGTGTGTGTTTTTTTCTTTTTAATGAATGGAGGGCGGCGGCGACTACTGCAGCTGGCTCAGCTGCGCGGGCTGCACCCCCTCCCAGCCTGCGAGAGGAGGTAAAGGCCACCTTCACGCCGCTGCGGGCCTAGGCCAGGACCGTCGGTGTCGCTAGAGGGTGGGGGGCGTTGCGGCCTCCCAGTAGTCCAGAGCAGAGTGGAGGAGGACACACCTAACTGTATCTCTGGCTGCCGCAGGCAAGGGGGGGGAGGGAGGGAACGGGAGGAACCCTACTGGGGACCTTCTCCTCCTTTAAATCAGTGGCGCCCCGGGACGTCGTGGGGTAGGGACCTTCAAATTGCATTAGCCAAAAATTAAGAAAATGTATATATCAAAGGGGGCGGGGAGGGGGTGGCTGAGTGAATCTGGCTCCCAGAGTTGTCTTTCGGGAGTGTAGACCCACCCTTCCCCCACCCACTTCTAGGGTGTGGACAGAGACTGGCTGAGGCCCCTTCCGGCTCCTGCATCCCTCCCCCCCCCCCCGGGCGATTCTGTCTTTCAGAGCTGGAGGCCTGACCCTTACCTCCCGGCGCCCCGCCTTCCCCCCCCTCCTCCCCCAAAGCAATGTTCCCAATGCGGTGGGCTTCTTCCCGCCCTCTAACTGCCCTCGCTTGGTGCCCTCCTCTCTATTCTGATCCCAATTCCAGCCGTCCTAGGACGCTGGCCTGAGTAACCTCTGCCCATCGCAGGCTTTCGGCCCTTGGCTGCTGTTAAGCGATTTCCCCCCCAACACCCAGTTTTCCTCCCCTCCCCTAAAGGGAAGCTAGAGCTGCGGTGAATTGGCCAGGTGGATGGGTGGAGCCGGGCGCGCCTAGGATGCTGCTGGGGTGGCCGCGGGATTAAATAACAGGGCTCTTCAGCGGTGGAGGAAATGGAAATGGCCAAGGAGCCTTTCTTTGCGTTAATAGGGTGGAGCGGGGGTGGGGTGGGGGAAGGGAGTAAACCCAAGCTGGCGAAAGGAAAAGCCCCCGCCATTAGGCCTGACTCTTGGAAGGCTGGGAGCCCTCGCAGCAGGCGCAGCTCCGCCCAGGAACAGAGGAGCCACCAGCCTCCCGGGATCCTGGGGTAAAGGGTGGCTTTGATGAGGGGATAAGAGCTGGGCCCAAGTCTGAATCCCCTGTTTGGGGCTTCCCAGGAAGGTTACGAGGCTGGCTTTTTCTTACTACGCCACAGTTGCACAGCGTTTAGCTGTTGTCTGAGGAACCAATAAAAGCTTCCCAGTCCACGCTAAGGTTTGGCCTGGGGCTGACAGAGACGGCTACACAGAGCAGAAACCAAGGTCACAATGTCCTAGTCCCAGATACCTTCTCACCATTCAGACCCACCTCTGCCTGTGATTCTTATCCAGCCTCGGAGGGCCAAGCAGACTCAGGAAAACAGAGGACCTCAGCCTTCCTCCCTGGCCAAGATTTCTCTGTAAAGCCAAGAACAACTTTTTAGAGGGGAGAGGGGGTAAAAGGGAGGGAAGGTTTATAATGGTTCAGGACTTCTCTGTAAGGGTACTGAAGCTCAGTTTCACTGTCACCATTTGTCAGACATAGAAATCAAAGCCAAGGCCCGAATCTGGTGAATGGAATGCTGATTTTCTAGGACTCTGCAACCCAGTTCCCTCCACTCCAAATCCATCCCAGCATCACAGATCTAAAAGCCCATCCCTTGCATGTCGTTTAAGCAGTTAAACAATGGCAGTTTTTCAGCTGGTGTGTACCCATGGTCCTTGCTCAGTCACAAGGAAAGGATGAGAATAAATAAATCCTTTTCTTAAATTCGGAGGATGGGGGGGAGAGGAGGAAGGTGCTGTTCTGTTTCCTTTATTATGAATTAGCCAAGAGATGGCAGACACTTCAAAGCCTTTTTCTGATTACCAGAAAGAAGAGATGAGGAAACTCCTCTCTAAGGTGAGAAGGAATTGTTCCTGGTGCCCTAAGTAGTGTGTAATCAGTGTATCTGGACATCTTCCTGCTTGGAGCCTAAATGATGCACTGGTTTGGAGCAGTAATTAGGAGAAATTAATTTACTCATCAGTGTGTCTGTGTTCCTGAATGCTGGGGCTTGAACTCAGGGGCCTGGACTCTGTCCCTTAGTTTTTTCTGCTCAAGGCTAGTACTCTACCACTTGAGCCACAGCTACACTTCCAGCATTTTTGGTGGTTGATTGGAGATAAGAATATCAGACTTTCCAGTCCACGCTGTCTTACCTCTCCAAGTCCTGAATTGCTAGGATTACAGTTGTGAGCCACTAGCAGTGAGGAAACACATATCAGTCTTGTGCTGGGGCCTGCATTGATTGGGGCTGGGGTTGAGGAACAAATGCCCCTCCCTGCCTTTGTGAAGCTATTTTGTTAGGCAACAAGATTGTGCTGTTTGAGCTAGGATAAGGTGTAAGATAAAAGTAACCAGGCTATGTTTGAGTGGATGGGGATCAGGCCAGTAAGTGGAGAAGGATTTTGATTTGGGCTTCAGGAAGCATCAGATAGGAATTTGTGCTTGTGACTTGAGAAGTGAACTTGAAAGATTAGAGACGAGACAGCTCAACTCTGGGCATTGGTGGGTCATACCTATCATCCTAGCTACTCGGGAGGCTGAGCTCTATGAAGCCAGCCAGGGCAGAAAAGTCAAGTAGACACACACACACACACACACACACACACACACACACACACACACACGAGAACACCAGAAGCTGAGCTCTAAGGATCACAATTTGAAGCCAGCCAGGGCAGAAAAGTCAAGTAGACACACACACACACACACACACACACACACACACACACACACACACACACACACACACACACACACACACACACACACACACACACGAGAACACCAGAAGCAGGGCTAGAGGCCCAGCCCTACATGGAGAAAAGCCTAGTTGGGGAGAGGGGGTGGGTAAGTGTGCTGAGGTCCCTGCATCCACAGCCTGATGAGTAAGAGAGGGAGGAGTTTAGGTATCATCTAAAGGGTTTTAAGCAGAATGGGACACACAGCTTTAAACCTCTCCAGTGGCCCAGGGGCCTGTGTTTGGGGGGAGAGGGGGCAGAATGAAAGATGATAGGGGTGATGGAAGACATTTGCTTCTAGCAAGTGGAACACGGCACTGTCTCTGTTAGTTAGGCAGCTGGTAGAATAGGCAGTGCCGGCTTTTGGGGTTTTTTGTTGTTGTTTTTTCTACTTCACCTGAGTGCTAATTCCAAAGCTACTGGCTATCCTCCCTAAGTGTAATGTTGACCCTAACAACCTTGCATTCCCACCCGTGCTGATGACAGTCTAGTCACCCTAATCCCCATACAGATGTTACCTCCCTCCTGAGGGTGACCATAGGAGGACAATAGGTTCAGTTCTGGGATTGGAGTTAGTGTGAGTAAGGAGGGGCAAGAATTCCAATTTGACAACACATTTTAGAGTACTTACTCTGTGCCAATCCTTTGTGCTCATGGTTTCATAGGTAATACTGCTTTTTTGTTTTGTTTTTCTTATTTGCTTTTTGTTTTCCTGGCTGGGATTAAAGGAATGTGCCAATACCCCTTGCCCCTTCTTATTTATTATTTATTTCCAAGGTTTCACTACCTACCCAGACTGACATAGAACTTACTATGTAGCCTACGGTAGCTTTCAGTTATCAGCCCTCGGGCATCCATGCCAACTGGGTGCAGAGATTAGAGGCATTAGTTGTGTTGCCTGGCTATAATTTTGCTTGAATTTGCGGGGTTCCTGTGGCTCACACCTTTAACCCTCGCTATTCAGGAGGCTGAGTTCTGAGGCTCGTGGTTTGAAGCCAGCCCACAAAGAAAAGACTCTTAATCTCCAATTCCACTTACAAACCGGAAGTGGAGCTGTAGCTCAAAATGGTAGAGTGCTAGCCTTGAGCAAAAGAGCTCAGGGGCAGCACCTACACCCTAAGTTCAAGCCCCCCCCCACCAACAAAAAATTAAATTAAAAATTTAAAAATAAACACATTGGTAATGTTGAGGACTGAATGCACAGCTTTGTGAATGGTAGGTAAGAGCTCTACCACCAAGCTACAGCCCCTGTAATATTACTTTAAAAGCTGTGTCCTGAGTGTAGTTCATTAATAAAGCTTTTGCCTAGCATGCACAAGGACCTGTGTTTGACCCCCAGTACTGGAAAAAAAAAAAGAAGCAGCAGCAGCAGGAGAAGAAGAATTCCAAGGCTCCATTTCCCTTATGTATTAATTGCACACAAAAATCACTTTGTATATCCTGTGAATCAGGTACAGTGCCAAGTGCTGAGGGTACAATGACAAAAGAGACCATGTATGTATGGCTCTGTGGGAAACAGTCAGCAGTAATCACAGAGTGGGAACATGGATATGCCTCCCCACAATATCCACTCTCACCCTTATTTCTATGTTGAAATGAGGAATGAAGCAAAGCCTTCCCAGCCAAACAGATGCAGTCATCTCACCTGTCTCCCCTATATAGAAATTTTGGAACTGCTGTTTCTAGTTAAGAAGGGGGACAGCCAAGCACTGGTGGCTCATACTTATAACCCTAGCTATTCAGGAACTGATATCTTACAGGATTGAAATTCAAGGACAACCCAGGCAGAAAAGTCAATGAGTCCCTAACTCCAATCTGCCAGCAAAAAGCTTGGCTGGAGATATGGCTGAAGTGGTAGTGTGTCTGCCATGAACA